GGCCAAGCTGGGCCTGGAGCTGCGTCTTCTGTCGTCTGATGTGGACACAGAGGTGGAGAAGTGGGAGGAGCAGGAGCACGAGATCGTCCGACAGAGCCAGAGCCTGGCCAGCATGGCTTACAACATGCACCTGTTCACCAGGTAACCCAACAGCAGCGCACACTGCAAAAACACACTCGTGCTTCGATCACATATCTGCAGCCTGTCACATGCATTCCAGAGCTCAGCACTTTAAAGCCTCTTAAACTTGCACATGCATCTCCTTAGAGGCCCTATTGGTACTTACCAAACATATTTTGAGGCCCTTGAAGAGTACATGACTCATACTGACAGTAAAATCGTTGCGGTTCTTCTAAGTAACACTGATTGTAAATGACTGTGGATGTGTCTTGGTGCTCATCCATCTCTCATTGTCCTCGTTTTCTGTGTTCCCATATTGATTCCCCAGAGGGGAGGGGCTGCTGAAAACAACACTGGATCTTTTTCATCAAGCTGAGGTACGTGCGTTCAAATCCACTAATCTCTCCTTTTCTCCACCTCCTGTTCGGTCTTCTTCCTGATTTATCGAAGATGCAAATGAATACATCTGTTGTTTCATTCAGCTGAATACAACACTGGGCATGGTGGATCAATGGGAAAATGCCAGTGATCCTTTATTGACTTTCACACCTCACAGCTCTGATAGGACAGTGCTGCCACTTTGGACATTAAGTGCTTACAAACGAGGTTGCGTGGCAGAAGTGTATCTTATTGAATTAGGATCATTGCCGGTGATGCACAGTATTTGTAGAATCAGGGTCCAAAATGTCAGCCGGGATTTATTGCAGCTGGGTTAGTATTCAGCTGAGGAAGATAAGAGAGGAAGAGGAATGATAGTGGAAGGAGAGGGGAAGCATAAAGAAAAGGAGAGCCAAGACAAAATAAGGTTTAGAACTTTATTTACTGACCCTGCTTTGACCTTACTATGGAACCTCTTCCTGGTGGAAGGTAGAGGAATCGTGATTTTGCTTTTGTTTGTGTAAAAATGTGTCTTTTTTTTCTGACTCACTCTTCAGGTTCTCTCTGAGGAGGGGCTCCAGCTGTGCTCTTCTCTCCGCACTTTCTCCACTCAGGTGAATACTAAGAGCAATAAATCTCTCTTGAAAACACACACATGCACACACACACACACACACACACAGAGTTTAAGGATGAATCATAAATCACAATGTTCCTACTTTGCCATTTTAAATGTTTTTGCACATGAAGCACTAAGAGAAAGACATTTATTACACCCACCGGATTGAAGATTGAAACTTTGTAGAGATTAAAAATCAAGAAATATCTTCATTCGATACAGATTAAAGTAAGATGAAGAAACGCGAACAGAAATAAAAAACCCTCTTCATTGTTTTTGCACAGGTTGAGCTGCTCCCCTTTTGTATTCATACACACACATAGTGACACCTGTGCCCCAACCTATGATACGCCTGTCATACACACACACCCATATCACCCATCCTGACATGCCCCCACGCTGCCAGGCCGGCCTTATAAATCATGAAGCGAGAGCAGGAAATTAATCCTGTCAAACACTTTCACCATCTTCTTATTTGTCCTCTCTGAGCTGTGATCCAAACATAGAAACAAAACAAAAACAAACCTCCATGCCCTACTCTTCTTGCCCTCCACTAACTTCGTCCTCAGGTTTTTCAAAGTTTAATTAAAAGGCTCTCTTTGACAGCCATTAACGACCACCATTTGTCAGCGCTGCGCGTGTAGGTGTGTAGGTGTGTCTGGTAGGTGTGTATGTTGTGAGTGTGTGGAGGAGGAGGGTTGGGGAGTCATTCATAACCCAGCTCCTCAACTGGCTGCACACTTTCTGATTAATTACATTCAACAAAAAAAGCTGCTAATGGAGTCCCTCTTTGTTTTTTGGGTCACTGGTGGCATGTTGCTGAAGTAGATTGACAGCCCCCGTGACTGAGATTTAGGGATTAGCTCAGCTTGGTAACAGACTTAAACTGTAGATCATGACCTGGCTGTTGTTTAAGGATTATATCAAATAACCCTTAAATTTGATTTATTTCATCCTCTTGTTTTTCCTCCTTTTGATGCTTGATTTGTTTAAAAAAAAAAAAAAAACTGTTGTAACTCCAGGATATCAATCATGTCAGTATTTGTCTCCCTCTTTAATACTCCTTTAAGTGTCTCTGCTGTTGTGAAAGCTTATCCACTTTTCGTCTTTCTGTTCCAGCTGGTTGACGAGGAGAAGTCTGCGGTGGTGACAGAGATAGACAAACTGGTGGCTTTGTGCCAACAGCTGCAGATGGGGGCAAAGACCCCTGTGCAGGGCAAGACTGCCACCTTCCAGAAGGTACCCACACTACGCTCGTGTCTCTTTGTGTGTTATGTTTGTATTTACACTTTTCTTTCCTTGTTTGTTGGAACCACTTCACATTGAATGTACAGAAGATCCTTTTTTGTACATTTTGAAAGGTTGGCTTGAGCCACATCAAAACTACATATCTAACACCGAACATAATTCCCTAGCTGCCTGAGATGTGATCTTTGATCTGCGAGTAACACCATTACGGAACACAGGATGTCAGATAAATGACTCTGTGAGGATACATGAACATTAGAGCAGGGATTAGCTCACCTTGAATCTAAAGACAGACGTGACAGAAAAACATTTCCTCTGATATTAGTTCACTCCCATCCCTTTGTCTTAAATCTCATGTTGACTTTTATCAATCATCACTAATGGAAGAAAATGTGCCTGTAGGGGGATGCTACAGCAGATCAAGAGATGTTGTATATTAAATGATGTGTAGACGGGGATGATGAGAGTGTGATATTGGAAGGCTGCTAGCTCGGTGTGTTTGCATGTTTGTGCATTCTTACTCAAAGCTTTACTCATCCTACCCTCTTTAATCTCCTTTTTTTTGTCATTTCCTTTCTATGCGTCAAGGTGGACTCATCCATTCAGACGACCAGGAGTATCTTGACGGTCGTCCTCGCCCTCCTCCCGGTTTGTAACAAGCTCAACAGAAAGGTGATTGAACAGGGTCTTGCTGTTTTATATTTTCACAAGCTAATCGCTAACTTTGTTTGTCTGGTGGTTGATGCTCAACATGGTCTTTTTTAAGACTGAAAGCAGGTGCAGCAGAAACTAATACGTAGATATGTTACAGTGAAAAGATGCAAAAACACCTCTTTAGAGTTGATGGGAGATGCAGAGTTAATCTTGGTAATCATATGTTTCAGTGTTGATAAAAAAAAATGTTCATCATGGCAACTTGAAATGTTGTTTCATCTTCCACCTTCTAACTTACATCTTTAAATAAGTGACAGTGGAGTTCAATGATGTCAAAAGAGGAACACTTTTTTTCTGTCCATTAATCCTAGATTGCTTTTGTCCGTCTACAGTACAAGTCAGAGAGGAGCAGCCTGGGTTCCCCTCAGGACTGGAGAGAGAGGCAGGATGCTTCCACGCCCGTCAAAGAAGACGGAGCTCTCAATAACAAGAACAGCAATGGTTTCGGTGTCAAATCCCTGGAGCAGCACATGGCCGGCCTCAACATCCTGGAGAGCAAATAATCCAGGGGAATGGTCTCCTCTTTTGTCGTCTGGCCTCCCCTTGGAGCAGCACATAGCCAATCTCACCTTTCTGGACGTGTAACCCAGAATATACTTTTATTATTCCCCTCATCCTCATGCACCCACCTGACGTGGGATAGTTTCCAGGGTCAGTCGAGTTAGTATTTACTGTTAAGTATGGATCTTAAAGTTTACAGATCCAAGCTTTCTGTGCTCAGGAGCAGTTTGTCCCTGGGGTAGATTTTTAACTGTAGTATCAGTTCCACTCCAATCCACCAGATGGAGACAATCAGCCAACACTATGGCGTCACCATTTGCATTGAGCCTCTCTGAAGAGTGTGAGGGGGGGGGGCCTGGGGTAAACCTGATTTTAGAGTCACTTTTATCTTTTCCCTGGACTTTGATTCAAGAAACTTATCAGAAATCAGGAAAGCTCTTCTTGATGCTCAGCCATACATCTGTGTTCACTATGTGCCTCTATGCTTCGTGGTGTACTGTAAACGTGTCGCACATGTAAGCCAAACGGGGGAAAAAAAACAAACAGTGAATATGCTGAGAACCCACCCTGCATGATGCTATCACCAGTCCCTGGTGTTTGAGTCTCTTATGGTCGATGTGTCATAGTTTTGTAATGTTAACGTGTTCCGTATTATTAGTCATAATAGTGCATTCTGTGTGTTGATCTCTGGCATTGTAGTCAGCATCTTACTTGGATAAATAAGTATTTCAAAAGTCAAACACATCACGTGAATAATGTCCATTGTCCATAGTGCCATGTTTGTAACAAAGTGCAAAAATCCCAGTTTAATGCCAAATATGATTGTTCTCATGAAGACGCTCTGATCTTCAGCTTGCTACTACTTTGACATAAAAAGCTCTTAAACCTCCAGTGTAAATAACTGGAGACTTGTTTTTATTTGGGCCTGCTTTCTCCTAAAAGTCAGATTATGATTTAGATTTTGGGATGTCAGTATCTTAGTTTATACAGTCCTGGGTATTATTTAATCATATTCTGTGTAATATGTTTTTCTCCCATAAAAGAAATGAGATAAGATACTGAAGTGGCACCGGAGTCGAACAGAGCCTTGAAGTGTACTTGTTATGAAGACTATCATGATGAAGCTGCCTCGTTGTGTTAAATGCTATATATGTATAATATGGTACTTGAAGCAGAGATATATAAATATATACAACTATTGTATCTTAAGGTTATGACTTTGGTACTAGGGGAGGTTGTGATAATGACTGAAATGAATAAGATGCATTAAGCTTTGTACAGTGTGAGAGCAGCTAAGGATGCTGGGAATTGTAGGGGGAGCTCAGATGTGAAGATAGATATAGTCAGATATAGTTTTGGACCATCTATTCTTTTGACAATTGAAAAAGGTTAGTAAAACTGAGACGTAAAAAATAAACAATATTTTTTCTTAAGTCGTTGTTTGTGTTTATTGACATTGTAGAAAAATAATTACTGACAATGAGATGAGTGGATCAACGGACATTAAAGTAGTTTTTTCATGCTTTCCTCTTTTCAAACTGGGAAAACCAAACAATAAATTAAGAACTCCCAAAAGTTTTGATAATGATAAAAAAACAATGTAATAGGCTTGAGGTGCATTAAATGCAACAGTCTCTGAAGTTACCTCACTGTCACTTAACTGGAGAAAATCCTTTCTTCGTCCAACCCGGTCAGAAGGGAAGGATGAGATATCCTCTCAGGAAACGTCGACAGGGTAAGAACTCAGTCAAGAGGGCTGGGATTGGGCAACAGTACGTTTGGAGACGAGGCTCTCGAACTGCTCCCTGCTCAGGAGGTTTTCTGTGATGCTCTTGCTCTCCTCAAACTTTGGCAGGATGACGGCGATGTATCCATCAGTGGATGGCTGTTCAGATAAAACAAGATTACTTTTAGATCAATAGAATGATTTTGATACGACACGCTGCTGCATCATGTGGTACATACAGAACAGTGTAAACATCTTGTAGTCATAAACAACCTGATATCTTACATGAATAGACGTATGAAAGAGAATTCAAGGTGGGAATAAAAACAACATGGTATTGATAAAAAAAAAAAAAAAAACATTATTAACCTTTTCCAGCAGGAGAGACGGTGTTTCTAAAATATTCTCATTGACCTCTAGAAGACGGCCTCGGATGCAGCTATAAAAAGGTAAAAGATTAATGCGACTGATTGAAACACAACATGTTGAATATCCACCAAGAAAATCAGCTTTTCTCTCACCTGTAGATTGTATATTCAGTTTCATCTGTGCATGTTATCCTGCACAGAGGTGCAAAATCCGTGAGAAACTGCCCCCCCTATAATGGAAAAAAAACTAGTTATGAATGTATGATGTAAGAAAGGGGAAAAGTGCACATAGAAAGATGTTGATTTATTTACCCGCTTGGATTTTCCAGACACTTTATTTTTTAATCGACTGCAGCCATTACTGATCTGGTAGTTGATGCTTTTGATTGTCCGGCCCTCCTGAAGGATCGGATGAGTGTCTGCTAATGTGACAACACATAATCTACAGAAAACAAATGTCACACACACTGAATGTGGATTACAGGTAAAAGCTGATTCTAACAGGAAGTCTAGTACTTCACATAAAGAGAATTATTCTGAGTGACCAAAATAGAAAAACAAAAATGAAGTTATATGTTCATCAGGCCACTGAAGTCATATTTCTGTGCAGCTTAGTTATACATTTATTTTTGGTCCATTTTTTCTGAAATATCTTTCAACAACAAGCAGCATAAAACTTCACAAAAAAGTCTGCAATTCATTTTTATTTTGTTTTTTTAAATCCGAGTCTGTACTCGTGGTCGCCTCCGTCCTGATGTTCATTATTATCCCCACCTGGTGTTCAATCTGTACTATGAACCTTACCTGTTTGAATGCTGTAAGATGCAGTGGTCCTCACACGATTTCCCCTTCAAATCTAAATAAAAAAAAATATTAATAAAAGTATTTAATAACCGTGATCTTTCATGCGCTGTGTTGTTATATAATAAACACATTAGAGATTTCTATTCCGAGGTCTCATGTTTCAGACGTTTACCTGCTCTGTACCATCGTGTGTAATATCGGTCAACAACTGAAGGCGCCTTTACTTCCGTGTCTTTCTCCTCTGCGTTCTCCATCAAAAGCACTTCAAATAAAGGTTAGAAAAGGGACTTAATCAGAGCAGCATTGACGCCTGTTCGCTACTTTATTTGACGGACAGTAAATGACGTGACACAGGGCGGTCCGTCCAACTAACGAGTCCGAAAGTTTCAAGAGCGACTTGGTTCCGTGTCCCTTTGGCTTCTTTTGGGGTTGAAAAGGTGAGTTTGACACTTCAGATGACTAAAGTACATCAAAGTATTGTTTTTAACAGAAGAACAACAAAATTCGTCATTATTTTTCGATTATTGCAGAATATGCAAAGGAGAAGAAGCAGACTTCTGTCCAAAAGAAGTTGTAAAACTAATTTAACTAACCTTACAGCTGATCTCGACCACCATAGTTTATTAATTAATAATCTTCCGCGCAAACCTCCTCAGTTGTATTTAAATCAGTCTATGATTTAAATACAGTAGCCGTGTGGACAATGGAAGACTGTACAAGTCTATCAAAGCAAGGTTGACTTTGAGTAGGCTTAATGTCAGCATTGTTTATTTCCAAAACAATGCTTCCTGTGCTTTTAAAAAATGAAAGGGCTGTGTGTATATTTGTTATGATAAATAAATCATAGCCTCTGTCTCAACTATTTCCCCCCACGGCTTCTCCTGCATTGACAGCAGAGCAGGGCAGATAAATACCCCTCAGGGGCCTTAAAGACCCTGTTCATTTATTTCACCACATGTCATATTGTCCCATAATGACATTTAATGCATTTTAAAATAGTTTTTGCCAAGTAACACACAATATTGTGGCCCATGTTATAATTCTTGTCCAAATAACTTTGATGAAACTCACACACATTGAACAAATAAAGCTTTACAAGGACAGCTAACTCATTTAATACATGTGTAAATAGCGACCCAGTTTTCTGATATTTTTCAACCAATCAGATTAATTTAATGAAAATATGGACAGCACAAATGAATGGAATGAAACGAACGTGCTTCATAAACTTCCTGACACTTTTTGTTCAGGCATGCATTCACGACCCACTAGAAATGGCTCTGTGTCCCACTTTTGGGTCCTGACCCACCAGTTGAGAACCACTGCTTTAGGCTCCCTTGCAGGATCATGTTGATGTATTAGTTCAACTGTAATTAGTTCAGTGTTACTTCCTGCATGTATGTAAGAATCATTTGACACATCTCCCACTAGATGTCAGGCTACTGCTAACAACTAGAGTTCACTACATCGTCGTAGGTCTCAGTGTCTATGATTAGCACTTTATATAACTTTAAAATACAATCTCTGCCTCCAAGATACAGCTAGTGGAGTAGTAGCATGTGATCATCTGTTTAAATTTCCACACATTGACCGCTGTATCATTATTTCCCCTTGTTGGCTCTAATGACTCTCACAGATGGCAGATAGATATCAGTGTGAAGAGTCTGCATCCCGCAGGATTAGGTAATGAAGATGTCTGTCGGGGGGGGGGGGGGTGGATGATGCAAGAATGAAAGATTTGTCCCCTCCCAAGATCTGGCATGTTGCCCCCTTCTGACCCAGACCGACCACATACCGAACATGTCTGGCTCCATGTGCTACTTCAACAATGTGGACAATGCAGAGGGAGCGTTTAAAGGGATTGGTATCCACACGAGGAAGATTAACTAATAATGACTTCATCTTGGTTACATAGCAGAGAGAAAAAAAAGGGAGTGAGAGAGAGCGGCTCTGCTGACTTTTGGGGGCACAAGGAGTCTTCCATGAATTTATTCACCACCACCAGGACTTGGAAAGTTTTGCTGTCAAGATCCCGCTCACTGAGTTTCCATTACTCCTCTGTCTGTGGTAGGCCGCGGTCTGCAATTAATTCAGAGATGAAACATAAAACCATTGTGGAAACAGTGGACACAAAGGATCAGGCACTTTGCAACAAACAATTCTGTCAAAGAGCAGATGCATAAGAGTGCTGCATGGGTGTGGAAAAATGTTTTTAAAACGTTGAAAACAATGTGTCCCTCTGGTGCTCTTCAGTGTGGAGATCCAAATTAGAAGTTGTTGAAGAGGTCTGAGGGATAGTAGATAAAAAGCCTTCATTTCACCAGGGCTACACACTCATAAAAACATGCATGTTTCAGCCATACAGGCTTTCATCAGGGCAGGTGGACACGACTCAAATCATATGATTCAGCAGCTTTACCTGGGATTTCCCCCCCCCCAAACCAAAATCTGTTGCTGTTCAACTGGAGTGAAGATGCTTAATTCCAAAAGTCAGGATTTCTCTCATTAAGAAGGTCACATGTACGGCTGTAACTACTTATTATTTTCATTGCAGCTTAAACTGTTGGTTATATACACAATAAACTGATTACCTTAACGCATAACTATGAACAAAATAGTGGGAAAAAAAGCTTAAAGTTACATTTTTGAGTTTGTGAATTGTTGGTTTTTTTTTGTCAGACCTCACAGAGCTCCTAACATTTAAGAACCTAGAATCAGCACGTTTGAAAAACTCTAAACTGACCATTTGATCTTAATTGAGAATCAGTAGATAATAGTCGACCTTCATTTTCTTTTGATCAATTAATCCTTGCAGCCTTTGTCACATTGGGAAAAGGCCATTGAATTGGCAGTCTCTCATTGAAAGGTTCCTGTTTGACATCACATCAGGTGACCCCCCCCTAGATGTTGGTATTTGCACAAGTGTTTATAATGTGTGTGCATCTGTGTTTATCAGTCTGCTCGTAGACTTATTTGTATCCGTCAATCTGTGTACATTCCTGTCTCTTTACTGATATTGTCGGATTGAAAAAGGTCCGTTTGCTGAGGCATCTCGAGTGTCTCCAGCTGCACAGACCTGTGTGTGTGTGTGTGTGTGTGTGTGTGTGTGTGTGTGTGTGTGTGTGTGTGTGTGTGTGTGTGTGTGTGTGTGTGTGTGTGTGTGTGTGTGTGTGTGTGTGTGTGTGTGTGTGTGTGTGGCAGTAGCTCCACGTCAGCTACTACTACAGCGAACAGCTCTTCTTCTTCTCTTGTCTGCTGTTTGGCTCCAGCAGTCTTTTCCTCCTCATGGAAGTATGTTCTCGATGTCTCTCTGTAGCACGTCTGACATGCCAGAAAAGAGCCTGATAAGGGAAGTGAATAGCTCTATGATGCCTGCGTGGCTTACATGTTAGGGCAGAAAGTAACAGATTTCCTCCTTTGTGACACATACTTGTCTGAGTGGTATCTGTTTTTGATGCATGTGGAGTGAATTATTTCAAGGGAGCATTTCTTTTGCTAAGTGCTTCATGCAGACGAGCTATCAGTAACGCTTTCAGCACTTTATTAGGAGGGGAATTGCATTGTGGCCAGGCTCGCCCTCAGAGTCTCATCATTCAAAAAAATGTTGAGGAAAATATCGAGAGAATTGGCTGCAGCTAGAGATCCTGCCTGTCTTTTCCTGGAAAGCATAGAGGAAAAGACACACCTGCTTTTGCCATTCAACCGAATCAGATTGAGTCATATGCTGCCAAAATGCACATTTAAACCTTCCTGATTCAATGGTATGTGCAGTGAGATTAAAAGAAAGTGGACCTAGGTATTTCAGGGTGAAGATCAGGGTGGGGGGTGTATAATGTTCTCACAGAAAAATGATTTGGTTTAAGTGAAAGCATTCAAAATGTCACAGTGGACTGATTGAAACTTATGTCACAGGTTGCATAATTTCACTTTCCATTGAAAAGGTTAAGATGGAAAATCTGGGAGTTTCAGTTCCTGACTGTTGCTCTGAATCTGCGGCAAAAGTTTCATGTCTTCTGAGTGGCGGCATCACTCAAATAAACTGGCCCCACATCAAGTTGTTATTAGCTTTATCTGCGGTGATCAGCGGCCAAAGCTGCAGTCAGTCATGTCAGAGCTGCTCTGTTTTATCTGGCTGCTCTCCAAAGACAGCGAGGTCTGACACTCTGAGACGTGCTACTCGATCATTCAAATTTATGATCTGTAACTTTATTTGAAACACACTTCAGCACAAGACTGTTTTCTACAAGTGGTGCACACACCCTCTACAGTGGTAGCAATACATAAAGAAGTAACTTCCTAAAGTTCCTGTGAAGAGTTCTTATCTGATAATGGAACACACTGAAATGAATATTGATGCCTCTATATGACCTTCAGAAGTAATCAAGCCCCTCAGAAAGAAGACGGGTTATTTCCATATAGTTATTTTATAAGGCTTTCATAATCTGCTGCTGGGTAGGTGACAGACAAGGCGACAAAAAGCATCCTGCAGATATAGCTTTTTCACAGTTGAACAATAGTCATTTAAAATACATGATATGAATATAAAAATTATGATTTTTTTCAGAAAATACTACTTACACATGTACCACAGAAAAGATTTACAAAGAGAGAGAAAACAACAGCAAAAATATAGTTATAATGAAACTATAAATGGACCTTCTTTATCCACAGAGGGTTGTAAAATGGACAGAAACCTAAAGTTGTGCTTTAAATAATAGAAAATATAATATATTACGTTTCACTTTGCTCTGCTCCTGTTTCTGATGGATCTAGTGTTTGCATGGCAACAAGACAGATGTATTTAAACCTAAAGATAATTTTTTTCCACTTGAACTTTTTGCTTTATTTGTCTGTCAAAATGTCAAACTATACCTTTAATGATACAGTTACTGTGTATTAAAATGTAGTTCAGTGTTAGTTCCTTAAAGTTGGTATGTAAACATCACATGGTTTGAAGTAGGACACGTATGTTTTTTTTTTTAAACTTTGAGCTCTGAAGTGTGAACTCAAGAGGAAGTGGTCTTAGACTGTTTGTTACAAATGCATCGGCCATTTAAGATCACTGCTTTCATTTTGTACTTTCTAAACGCAACCTGTATCTTCTTTAAAATCAATTCAAAGTCCTTTCTTACAAAGAATGTTTCAAATATTTTCAGCAGGTTACATCAATCAATATGCTATGATTCTCCATCTAGGTGACACATCCATTTATTTTCCTACAGTTTGACCTGTTCCTCATTCATCCTCCAACTCGTCATCCTACCGAGAGAGAGAGAGAGAGAGAGAGAGAGAGAGAGAGAGAGTCCCACGGGGGCTGGAGGGGATGGAAAGAGTGTGCACGCTGCCAGGTACGACACTGAATCCACATGCACACACGAGGAACTAT